TACAAAAGTGAATATATCATAAAATTTGTCCTATAAATTTGTTGAATATGAAATATAACACAATATAAGCAAAATATTACGTAAAAAATATATACCTTTATAGTATAATTATTGGACAGAATCCACGATAATTATAAAAATATGTATATTCGTCATAGTTATATAAATATATAAAGATTACCAAAAATAATAAAAAATGAAATAATTAAAAAGCTAAATTAATTCCAATAAATAAATGTTATAGCATAAAAATATTTCAATTTCTTCTTTCAATTCATTAGATTTACTTTTAAAATATCACATATACAAAATTGAATATAATAGAACATATAGGATGATATTTCGTACAACTATATTGCATAGGTACTCTTACATTGTGAAAATGCATTATATTTTCAGTGTGCATTAATTTTCAAGTATTCATCTCTGTAAGTATATAATAGTATTGAATATTTATTTAAACCGTAATATTTCACATTTAAACCTAACAATTAACTCATGCATATTAACATAATAGAAAATATGTATATATAGGCAACAATATGTGATAATTCTAAAAACATAAACATTAAAACCTAAACACTAAACCTAAACCCTAAACTCTGAATGTATAACTCACTTTTCGAATATATAAATATGTATTAATATATAAAAAAACAAACATAATAAAAAACATAAAGTATTTTGTTAATATATTTAGAGAAAATAACTTACATTAAAACATAAATACTTTTGCCTAAAATATAATATCTTTTGTTCTGTTCTAATTAAAACTCACTTAAAAATATATATCTCCTAAAAGAATGTCGTGTTTATTCGTGTAATAAATTAAAATATATTATATAAAATTATTAAAAGTATATAAATATTTTTACAAATTTTTTTACAAAAAAACACATCTGTTATAATATACAGTACGTACTATACAACCATGATTTATATACACAAATTTATGTGCAAACTAACACAAATTAATTAAAAATCCTATAATATATTTATATAATGTTATCGCTAACAAGGACAAATGCATACATTTAAAAGTATTTACTCATAAACTAATAATATGAATATTGTTCTAACAATATTTTTAATATAATATTTAAAACATGAATGTATTATATATTGATAGAATAATTTAATTACAAAGCAATATAATTACTAATTAGATAGAAATGTAATTATATAAAATTTTTGCGATATATAAAAAAGATATACATATATCATATTTATAATAAATTAATAAACATTTAGTTCATAATAAAATGTATGTGACTTTATATATTTTCATTTTATCATCATTTACTAATCACTTCTTTGCAGAAATCACAATATTCCTTAAAATACATTTTTCCTTTCTCTGCCTTTAATTTTTCATATTTTACAATTTTCACCATTATATAAATAATGAGTGCCAATATTATATATGATAATGTTAAAAAGAATGCAATATAAATATATGAAACCTCAACGGGTATTCCGGAAACAGATAAAATAGATTTATATCCACCTTTCCATTGATCACTCCCTGTACAAGACCCCGTCGTAGGACACGGAAGAATATGCTTAGTGCTACTATATATCATATCTAGCAGAGGTAAAATTATTCCAAGTAAAGGAAGTAGACATGTAGTAACAAAACCAAATCCGTATTTCAAATGTATTTTTTTCTTAAGATTTTTGTTATTACTTTTTCTTGATTTATCAATTATATCGAATATTTTTTTTTCACACGAACAGTCTAATTTACCTAATCCTTTCCTTTTAGCATATCTAGAATAATAACTTCGCATATAAGCATCCAATTCATTTAACGTCTCATTTTTTATTTTTTCATATGTTGGTGCATTATCTTCTATGTTTTTTGTTCTCTTATTTTTTTCCTTAACATAATTTTTTTCTCTCAATACACTATTTTTCAAGTTTTTCTGTATTTCATGCTTTGCCATTATTCGATTAATTTGTACTACACTTATTTCGCTCATTTTATATATGTTAAACAAGGTTTCGAACTCTGAAGGCTGTAGATATTATGTATATATCATTATTTAATGAAGCAAGAAATAAAAAAATGAGCTATAATTATTTGTTAAATAGAATAATTATGATAAAATCATAAATATACACTTATGTAATGTATTACCACATCATGCCTATAATGATTTTTGCATAGAATAATTAAAAATATCCAAAATATAGAAAAAATGTTGAACTTTGTTTTTCCCATCATCATAAATTTTTTTATTATTATTTACTTACTAATAGGAACACTAATTATGTACAATTTAAGTAATAATTGATTACAGATAATAAGAAAAACCTTTTGATTATAATAGAAATTGCAAATAAATATATTATATTATAATTATATTTATATAATAAACACAACTATATATATATTCTATTCAGTATGTTCTATTAGTATTTCATAGA